ATTTTTCCCCAATTAAACTAGACAAATGCCGACCAAAGAGGCTTAAGGGTCTCGTATTCGAAAGGAGCAATCCCTCTTAAAAGAGAGATTACTCCTTTCAAGGGGCTAATGTTTGGGGGTAAAAATACCCCTAACACATGGACCACTATTAATACAACATGTGTCCCAATAGCCTGCTGACACGTGTCAGCCTTAGAGAGGCCCAAAGGGATCCAACCCTCTACTGACACGTGTCACTAAAACCCTAGAAGGAGAATTGGTCCCCTTCCCTATAAATAGAGGAACCATCCTCATTTATAAAAAAACAACATTGAATACACATTCAATCCACACAAAAACCGAGCAATATTCATTGCAGAATTCTCTTTGAATCAGATAGAAGTATTTACCATTTCCGCACTATACTCCTCATACACGTTCTAACTTGATTGTCGGAGGCATAACTCTCTCGGGATTCTTCGTTGTTTTGTAGGTACAGGCAGCCGGAGGTCAGTCTCGGTGTTGTAACTCTCCCGCGGGAAACATCAAAAAACCTCGAAACATAAACTAACTAATGACTCATATTATTTTATGCACACTTACATAATATTTAAATAATTAATTTCTTTTTAAATGAAATGAATCATTTTAATTTATAAAAATAAATAAAATAAATAATTTATATACATATATATATAAATATTATAAAAATACGGAGTATTACACCTGCCCGCCTCTAGTTCGGTTCTGAATTCACCCCGCATCAGGCATCTCTTACCTCCTCTTGCTTTCTACTAATCGGAGTCTTTAGCCCATCCACCCTAAGCATTGCTTGCAAAAGCACAGGCATTAAAGAATAGGGATTAGCCGGTATTCTAAAAAAAAAACAGGTATTTGAGAAAATTAAAGATAAGTTACCTCAACCAGCAAGGCGGTGATGCGTTTAAGGTTAACTTGATGCAACCCAGGAATTAACTCCTTTTCGGACCGGGTGATTCACCTCGGCATCCGTTTGTAGTATTGCTGGAGGTCCGGCCATCTAGGAGAGGCATCTGCACCACAAAAAGGATGTTGTGAGATAGTAGCATAAGCGGCACCTATATTGTGCCAGCTGCTGGATGAATCTCCTGACTGTGCAACCTGATATTTGACTCGTATAGGCCCAAGCGACCATGGGGGTTCAACGCAGTCAATCATATCTTGAGGATCTGGCAAAAGGGTCTGGTCATCCCCAGCCACTACAGAACCATATGCAGCATCGAGTGGCACGCCACTCTTTGGCGCCTTTGGGACGCCCGACTCTTTGCCGACCAAGTCTACACTCAGGCCAAAATCTTTAAGGTTATTGCCTACTGAAGTGGGTCGGTCTCCTCCAGGCGGTAAGTAGGATGTCGTTTGGGTTGGCTGCGCTTTTCTAGCCTTGGAGGAGCCTATGGTAGACTCCTCAGGCTTCCGCTTAAGCATCTTTATGATGGATTTTGGAATTTTCTTGCTTCCACCCTGAAAGTGGAACACATGGGTTACAGCCGGTGATACGTCGTCTCAGTATGATAAATAGATGCACTACATGTCAAAAAGGGGGGCAGGTGGAGCTTACCCCGTCATTTTTGGCCGCTAGCTGGGCCTGCTTTTTCTCTAGCTGTGCCTTCCTAATCTCAGCTGTGGACTTGGTAGGCGTCTTTTTGGCAACAACCATATTGTTAAAGCTTTTTCTGCATAATAATAACCGGCTGGTTAGACAAACTCAAATAATTTACATTAAACAATAGAAGCGGCATTAAGGTGCCGGTTAGGTGGTCAACATACATCTCTCAAATATAGTACTAAGGCCACAGACGGAGAGGAATGCCTCGTCCTTAAGCCAATCCGGATGAGGTGCCCAATTCTTGGGTACAATTATTTCTGTGCCATCATCCAAAGGCATGGTAGTTGTCTTAAAAAATTTCCGGCTCTAGTATCTGTGCCCAACCCTCCTCAGGGACATGCGGCAGGGCACACTTCTTCCCCAAGGGATCTGGCTTTTTATTATACCGGCGGAGGAAATGATTTTGACGTCTGCTGGAAGAGGAAACCAAATATAATTTTCTCTTCCAATTGGTCCACTTTGATGGCTTGTCAAGTGTCATCAAATACTCCGAATATGTGGTCAAAGTATACCACGTCCTCCAGCCGCCTGGGCACGGCTTAAATAGTGCATGTGGGCGAAAGCCTCTCAGTGGGGATTTATGTTTTGAAAATCACAGGCGGCGATATAGCTGAGCACGTTCACCCGTAAATTAGGGGTGAGCTGCCATACGCCTATGTCATAGCCCCTTAATATGGCATGTATTCCTTCATCGAGAGGGAAGCGGAGGCCAGCTTTAAATGCCGCCTCGTAGCAACCGAAATAATTGTCAGCGTGGTCAAGATTGTCCTCCCAAACAACTGTCCCCTATTTAGGCGGCACGATTATTTCCCATCTATCCCTAGTGGGTAATTGTCTAAAAAGGTTGTAAAGCTCGACTCTAGGGTAACCTTATTCCTGGCGGACATATGTGTCTCAAGAGGGTTGGAACGAGCCGGCCATGAGGACGCCTCATCCTCCTCACTGTCGGCCTTTGCTTGCAGTGAGCTCGACCCATCAGAGCTAGATCGTTGAACGGCCTCTTCGCCGTCTCCGTGATCTAACTCTTCTAAGATATCGTCAGTCGGAGTGATTGGTGCACTAAGGGAATGGTCATGTACCTCGTCAACCGGCACCTCAAGAAGGTCGTCTTCCCTATAATCTGGATCGAGTGTCGTCTACTTAGTTTGGGCCATTGTGTCCTGCACAGACACACAGACGGTCGGATACGGAGAAGAGCAGGGGTGGACCAAACAGCCCGAGACGGTACCCCTAGTCCTAGACTCAACCGTATCAGGTGACCAGCTGACTATTGTCCTAGGCTGTGCCATGTGTGTTGTGGGTGAATCCATTATTCAAAACAATATACTCAGACGGTAAAAAGGAACAAAGAGTTGAGAAGGAGAGAGATGGTTACCTCAAGAGCTTCTGAAAAGAAAAAGTCAGGCATAGAACGACTGTATCAGGCACTGATATCCAGCAATGATTGACAAAAGCCTTAGACGGTTATAAGAGTATCTCTCTCTAAAATTTTTCTCTCTTTTTCTCTAAACTTTTCAGAATGGTCAAAGAGGAGGGGGAAAAGGGGGTGGGGGCTAAAAGACTATTTATAGGAGGGGTAAAATACAGGGGCATCTTTGTAAATTGCCCCAGAAGGCAGACAATTAAAAAAACAAAATTGTTCATCAACACCAGAGTGACAAGTGTCACAGGCGCCACGTGGCACGCCACGTCACCCTTGTGAGGGGCAAATGTTTTAGGTAAAAATACCTAAGCCACGTGGGCCAATAAGAAGCTTACACGTGTCATCCTAGGAGAGGTCCAAACATGACCAATCACCCTGACACGTGGCCTTCCTAATCAGTGGGAAAAAGGCGGCCTTCAGGGCCCAATTCCCGAGAAAGCCGTAAAACGGTGCAACCCACCAAATCTAGGTCAAAATGACCTAGATAGGGGTACATTTTTCAATGACCCTAAATAGGGAGATTTACCCTATTTTGGGGACACGTTCATTAATAATACACAATCAATTCTCTTGAAAACAGAGAAATCACCTGATCTCGTAATCCGAGAAGATCTATTTTTACTTGTCGCACTTTTTACATCACTCCGAACACTTTCTAACTTGATCGTCGGAGGTGGAACTCCGAACACCCGAAACAGTCTTGGTGACTTAACTCTCCCGAGGGACACAAAAAACCCCTAAACAGAACGCCTTTTAATATAGAGTATAGATTTGAGTTTTTTTTTTTCCTTCAACCATAGGGGAAGAGGAATTGGGGAGAGGGACTGGTGATAGTGGAGAATATTGCACTCAAGAGGAAGGGTGAATGTTAAATTAGGTTTAATTTCATTTACCTCATTAGCAATTTGTTTCTGATACGAGGACGAACTTGGAAGATTTGATAAATCAACATGAAAAAACATTAGCCCTCAATTTGGACTCAAATCACGCAATTCATGGCCACTTCACGGGTCATCAAAGTAAGGATACGGTTTGCCTTGTAGCCTTCCTTGGTTTAGCTTGATGTTGGAGTCTTCTTTACTTAGTTATTTTTAGAGTTTGCTTACAAGTTTTTACCTTTCACTTGAAAGAGTTTTTCTTGTTTTAAGCACTTAGGATTTCTAATTCAATTAGGAATTGTTTTAGCTTAAAAAGTTCCTAAATTGATTAGGACTTGTTTTTAGCCTAGTGAGTTCCTAAGTTAATTAGGACTTGTTTTTAGCCTAGTGAGTTCCTAACTTAGGAACTCACTAGGCTAAAAGCAAGTCCTAATCAATTTAGGAATTTATTAAGCTAAAACAATTCCTAATTGAATTAGAAATCCTAAGTGCTTAAAACAAGAAAAACCCTTTCAAGTGAAAGGTAAAAACTTGTAAGCAAACTCTAAAAATAACTAAGTAAAGAAGACTCCAACATCAAGCTAAACCAAGGAAAGCTACAAGGCTAACCGTAGCCTTACTTTGATGACCCATGAAGTGACCATGAATTGCGTGATTTGAGTCCAAATTGAGGGCTAATGTTTCTTCATGTTGATTTATCAAATCTTCCAAGTTCGTCCTCGTATCAGTTTCATTGTTTAAGTACTATTGCTTTCAAACGGAGTAATAGGGCAGGTATGCTGTAATGGCCTCATTTATCATTTGTTAACAAGAGGTATTTACTTGATTGGTGGCTTGCTAAGAAGCGGTTTTAGTATTTATTTATGCTTAACCCAAAATAGCTACTAAATTATTGAGCATATAATACTACAGAGTATTTATCTACAAATGTATAAAATAACCAATACAAGTTACATTACATTATTACGAGTATAAAATAACCAATACAATAGCTGAACAACATTATTGCATAACAATATTTATCTATCCTAAACAATTTACAATAATTACATCTAATTAAACTAATATTTACATCAACAAGGAGAACGCTGGACTATCGGCGCAATGCGCGCGATAGGACTACTAGTCATCAAAAAGCTGCCCCTCTCCCTTTTCTTTGTCTCTCCTCTCTTCCGGTCTCCTTCCTCTTCTACCCCCTCTCTCTCCTCAAATCACCACCACGCACCACGCACCACGCCAACGCGCATCGCACTGAGGCACAATCCATCCACCACGCATCACGCTCCACGCCACCGCCGAGCCACCATTTAGCCACCGCGGAAGCCCACGTCGCCGCAAGCAAACCGTACAATAAAAAGTCAAGGTTGGAATATCGATCTAATTTTTTTTTTTTTTTTTTTTCTGATTATAATTAATTTGTTTATATAATTGTAAATTCAGTTTATATTTCTTAAGATTTTTGTATAATTGCGAATTGAGAATACCGGTGCCGGCGGTAGAGTTAGTGGTGGTGCCGCCGCGAGTTGGGCATGTTCGAGAGTTGTGACCGTTGTTTGAACAATGAGAACACCGCCTTGTTGTGGCGGAGTAAATTGGGTGTTTCAAATTGTTAGAAAAAATGGATTTGCATGTGGGGTTGAATTTTTTTTTATTTTTTTTTGGAATTTGGGTTGATGAAATGAAATAAAATAAAATGGTGAGATTGGATTATGATTTATGAATATATAATCGTAAACTTGGGTAAATTGGATTGGATATTGAATTGGGTATCTGATTAGATGAAATTTTTTGAATTTTGATTTTATGATTTATAGAAGAAGAGTAAATGAAAGAGATTTTTTTTTTTTTTTTTTTTTTTTTTTTTTTTTTTTTTTTTTTTTTTTGGGGGGGGGGTGGGGGTTGGATTGAAGTTTTTGTGTGTTTTTGTAAATTATTTATTGGAGGAAGAAAGAAAGAAAAAGGGGGATAATTAGTTTTCAATTTTGAACGGTTGATTTTGGTTTGTGTGGGTGGGTCAAAGGTGGGTGATGGTGGGTTGTGGTGGGGCAGTGGGTGTGTGTGGGTTTTCCGTGGTGGTGTGTGAATGGGTCAAAGGTGGGTGTTGGACGTTTTTGACAAAATACCGACTATTCTTGGCCATCGTTGATAAGCCGTTTTCTTGTAGTGAGGGGATGGAGGAAGAACTACTTAATACCCTCTGCAATTGTTATTATTGCCATTGTGAGAAAAGCATGATACTATAGCACTAGTCTTATCTGAGAAACATGTTAACAATTTGTAATAACACTATAATTGTATTTAGATGATTGGTGTGAAGACTTAACATCAATTGCTTTGTGGTTAATTTAAAATGTTTTCTCACTCTTGTCTTTATTGGATTTTCTTTTAGGTTCTCATCAGGAAGATAGTTTATTTTGGATGAGTGGAGTCTATAAATAAAGCAATGAATAACCGCTTAGAGCTTGGTAGACCCACCTCAGGTACTTACATATTATTGCAAAAAACTTCTCGTTATGAAATCCCCAAACATCTTATCTCCACTAGTTGGGGTTTCTTGCCTAGGTTTTTAACACCAACTCCAAGGTTTATGATTAATGAACGCAAGAGATTGTAACCTCTCTACTAGTCTAGATTAATTACGGTCAACACTTTATGTTTAGACCTCTTGGAGAATCCTACATTTCTATCAAGAATGCAAATTATACTAGGTCATTTTGTTGTTGTTGTAATTTCAGGAGCTATTGGGAAATTGGATTATACATGGTGTTTTTTTTTTTTTTTTTCTATATTGCAAGAGGGTTGGCAAAGCATGTTTGAAGTCTTACCTCATTCCATTTTCAGGTAAAAGAAGGCTTAAGGATCTACTGCTTCAAAAGGATAACCGCTGTTGTGCTGATTGCAGTGCGCCAGATCCTAAATGGGCGTAAGTTGTTCTGTTATGATTCTAACAAATTATTATTGTTAATTATCTACACTCCCTTTGTAGAATTTTTTTCTTTCAATGCTCATTTTAGTTTCAATTTTATTCTTGTTGGCTATTTAATGCTTTTTTGAGAAGCACCTGTTCTTTGAGAAGAAATTTCAGCCCGACGATTTAATACTTTTAACAGAAGACACTCGATCCATTTCATTAATGGCAATTCTGGTAATTTCTATACAATCCATGTACATCATTGTCCGTAGTTACTATCTTGTGATTGAACCAAAATAGCTTAACATATATCTCTCCATCTCTCTCCTCACTTTCTTCCCTATCAACTTGTTTCTGCTATCATGGAACTTGGTCATGGCCCATATTTCTCCATCCCATTCTTTCTCTTAAATGTGTATCCCATTATCCCCTGCTTCTAATATGTTCATCCTCAGACCTCAGTTATATATAATTGTTTGGACTTTGGAGTGAAGTTGCAATTTACAGGTTTGTTTGCATTCAGATCAAGACGCAAGATTAAGTATAAGGAAGCAAATATATTATTATGTAATGTGTGTACAGTGCATGCTTGTTGTATATGAAATAAACTCGATGTATCTATAAAGGCTATATTAATAAGTTGTACCCAGTGTGTGTGTGTGGGCGTGTGCGTGTGGTTGTACATATATGTAACTTAGTGAATGGTATGCAAGTGCGCGTGTATGTAAAATAGTGAATGGTAAGGCTAGAACGGTATGCAAGTGAACAGTTTACAGCAACTGCAAGGTTATGGGCTTTAAGTACATAGATTCTCTTTGTGATCCTTCTGTAAACTGCTATATTTCTGCTTGTGTTGGGCCCTTTGCAAATACTTAATCTCCCTTAGGCTTAAGATAGCTGCTTTCCATTATTTTGTCATTCTTACCCTATTTTCCAAGAAGCATCCACTAATACTAGTAGTATAGCCCCCTACTGTTTGTCCATAGACCAGTGAATTAGCTCCCGAGTTTTGTCCCTTTATCCTTTCTACTGCTGTTGGAATTTCTGTACAAAGGAATTCATCCAGTAGTGTGTGTATTCCTCAAAGAGATTACTAGACATATGGTTCTTATGGGCCTGGTAATTTTTTGGGTGCAAGTAATTATATTCTTATGTATCCATATTGACTAGAATTTATCCATCAGCTGTGCTGCCCTTTTTGACTAGAACCTTGGGGATGGTAATTGGGATGTACCATATGCATGACTATTACTGAGAAATATATATATGTTTGATTTAGTTTTTATAATATTAAACACATTCTAGTTCTTTTTGACAGCATGTCCACGTATATTAACTTGTTGCAATACCAAATAGAAGACTTCTGCGTTTCTACACCTATAGTATCATATTAGTGAATATTTTCTATTCTTTTCAGCTTGCTGATATTATCAGAGAATTAACTCTTCTCCTTTTTTTTTTTTTTTTTTTTTTTTTTTCAGATCTGCAAATATCGGAGTTTTTATATGCTTAAAATGTTGTGGTGTGCATAGAAGCCTTGGAACTCATATATCAAAGGTACTTGCACAAGTAAATTATATTGATCATCTTAGTATGTTTGTAATTTTCCCAATTTTAGCAGTTAGTAGATTTATTTTATACTTTGCCTGATTTCTTTTAATTGCAACACACCTCCATAGCACACACTTTGAGGAAAAGATTAGGTAATGCAAACGGACAAATTAATCACAATAATTTATACATGTAGTAGTTAACCATTCTCTCTTCTTGATGTTAAATTTTTTTGATAAATTTGTTCGTTGAACTCTTAAAAAAGCGTTCCCAAAGACTGTGTTGCAAATAAAAGAAAACAGGTTCGTATGAATTAGTTAGCTCTTAAATAGTGTATTTTAGCAAATACTATTCCTACATACTCCATTAATTTTGAATGCCTTCTCACTCGATGCATTTATTTGAATATCTAAGCTAGAAATGAAGATTTTAGGTCCCTTGATTTCCAATTTAGTAATATTTTATTTAATCTGTGGAGTAGGGTTTAAAATTGTTGTGTAATTGTTCATTAACATCATGAAATAAGAATACGGTTTCGGGGTCACGATGTCGTGGTAATGGAAATGATGTGTTCGTGATAGATCGAGTAACGATAAACGCCATTGTTATTAAAATTGCAATTCGGTACTATACACCCAATTTATTTGAATCATAGTCAATATCGTCTTCTAGTAGAATTTTTGGTAAGATCGTTAGAATTGGTTTGAATTGGTAAGATCGGACCAATGCTTTGATTTTACTCTGATTCTACTGATTTTACTTTGGGCAAAATATTCTAATTATCTTTGTCCATAAATTTTGATTGCGAAATTGAAATTGGTCTTATAGTATATCGTTGGAATGCTCTTGAAATCTATTTCTAGTCCGATTAGTCTTGCACCCATATCATTTATATACTTTTTGATGTGGCCTTAAAGAGTGCAAGGGTGGCATATTTGAGCCCAATCTTAGTTAATTGCTTATATATTTTTCTATATAAATTGGCATTAAGCTTTTGAAATATCAATTTAAAGCTCTTTTAAAATGTTATTCAACCATTTGCATTTCGTTGACTAAATCATAAATCTTGGGCCTTATGAGCTCATCATTGGGAATTTTAAAACTACTTTTTATAACATAAGCTTGTTGTAGTTGTCATTCATTAGTTATCTTTTTGGACTATACTAATTTGAAACTCACCATTATCATTAAATTTTGTATTAGGAGAAACAATTAAGGTGTTAAAAACATTACTTTGTTCATTATTTAACATTAATTGTCTCGTACTCTAGTGAATAGGTTAGAATGTGTATCAATATTTTTGACTTTATTTGAATTATGGATGTGTGAATATTTATAAAATTGTATTAAGTTTGTATTGTCAGTATTATGTTAGCAACACTAAATATTTATTTTCATTCTCATTGCTTGAAAATTATGTTTTAGTCATTTAGTATCATTTTGAAACCCAATTTTTTTATTATCTAAAAGCGTATAATCCTGCGATTCGATTCTACCGATTTGACTCTACCCCACTCACAGATTCGAGGTAGCCCAAAACTATGGTTGTCGCTTTACAATTATGATTTTGAATTTTTTTTTCTATAGTGCTGCCATAGTTGTATAATTTATGATCATTTGACTTGATTAATTATTGTAATTTATGATACCCCATTGTTTGAAAATAAAAATTAAACAAAATCCAATCCTTTTTTTTTTTTTTTTTTTAATCTTCTCAATTGTAAATGTTTTTCTATTACTTCCTCCCATATTAATGGCGGTTTTCAGGGTGCAACAGTTTTTTATTTGTTTTTATTTCAGGTTTTATCTGTGACATTAGATGAGTGGTCTGATGAAGACATTGATGCGATGGTTGAGGTTGGCGGAAATTCTGCAGCTAATGCAATATATGAGGCTTTTATTCCAGATGGATCCTCAAAGCCTGGACCAGATGCAAGTCATGATGATCGTATGAGATTCATCAGGTTTGTCGCCTGAATTTTCTTTCAAATAGCTGTTATCAGATCTAATATGCGGTATTTATACGAATGTCTCCCCTCTAAATTGCCTATCTCTAATGCTTTATTATGTCTCGCTCTACATATTATCCTTTGTGCTCAAGTCACAATATTTGGAGTAATTCAATACATTTAACATGACAGTATGACACTAACACTTTATGTTTAGCTATGTACTGTAAAGTGGCTGTTGAGGTTTGATGATTTCTTTATATAATTAGGCATAGCATTGGCTTTGGTGGAAACAGAGCACTTTGTATTTATTAATATATAAACTTTGTCAATTGTCAATGTAGATCTAAGTATGAGCTTCAGGAATTCTTGAAACCTAGCTTGCGAATTCTTTCAATGTCTTCTGCGAAGACATCGCTTCAGCCAAGCTTTTCCAAGAAGCTAATGAATAGTTTCCGAAGTTCACAATCATCAAAAATATCAGAAAGCTCTGTAAGTTTGTCCTTTTAGTTTCTTCTATTCTTATTCTTCTTGCTGATGAGCTTGAACTGTAATGTGAAGGGAAAAAAATTTATGTATAATGTCCCAAATCAGAAACCAAAGCTATAAATTAGTATTCCCCATGTTTTGAGGGGCTAGTATGGTAAACTATTTTTGTTAAGCTACTAAGTGCCCTCCTGACACAGCAAAGCTCCTTGCATCATTGCAGTTTTCCTGTCTTACTGTATTTTTATAAAATTTTCAACTTTTAATACCTATTAAGATGTATGTAACGAGGATAGTTAGTGGACCAACCTAGGTTTAGCTATTGTGCTTGAATGCTCTTGTTGAATTCTGAAAAAAAAAAAAAAAACATAGGGCTATTACTTTTCTGATTAATTTCATTCCAAGTTTTTTAGTATTATTTGTCAAATTGATTTTTGATATGATTAAAAAACTTTTGTCATTACGTTGGTTATGTCTATACTGAAAGGATGTCTGACTAGTGCACACTCTTGATACATGAACTTGTTGAACAGGAAGGGATGGTAGAATTTATTGGAGTATTGAAGGTTAAAGTAGTAAAAGGGACAAATTTGGCCGTCAGAGACATGTTATCTAGTGATCCTTATGTTGTCCTTAATCTTGGGCAGCAGGTGAGTTACAAACTTAACATTTTGGTAATTATTTCAAGGTATCTCATTGGATATTGCAGTGTCAGTTACAGCCTGTTTGGTTATTCCTTTCAGCATTTTCGTGTTCATGCGAATGACTATATTACTATATGGTTATCTATGTTTCCATTGACATGTTGTAACACCCCCCACCTTTGTGTGCCTGCACACAGACACACACACACGCACTGAGTTTTTCTTTTTCTTAAATATTAAATGTGCTCACATTCCATTTTGAGGTTTTCACAGACAGTTTTTCTTTTTCTTTTTCTTTTTTTTTCCCTTAATACTATAAAATGTACCCGCATTCCATTTTGAGGTTTTTTATTTGCTAAAACTACTTTCACTTACATTATATTACCCCTTACTACAATTAAACCTTTGCACTCCACTCTCTCCAACTTTATCTACTTATTTCATACACCCAGCCACTTTTATTTTCTTTCTTTTTATTTTTAATTTTTTTTTTATTGCATCTGTCTTGCTTTTATCTTACTGTTCTTACACCCATTTAACTACTCTAGGAACAAGTTAATGCGTTCATTAAAGCAAGCAGAGGTAAATATGTAAAATATGATATTAATTTTATTCCTCTTCATTTTTTTTACATCAATGATACCCTAAACGTGGTACGTGGCCACGTTCCTCGATCCAATCTTGGAAATTTGTACTTTCACATACCATTTAACAGAGGTTTGTGGACCAGATCGTTAATGGTGGCAAATTATATCGTGGCTCAGACTTTAGGATTATCATCTTTTAGATTTTAGATGACTACAATGATACTTGTTTCTGGTTACATTTTCAGATTATATGTTTAAGATGTTGATCATTAATGGGGGATGGTGAATACTACTAAAATATGTTTGTTTATTTAAATTAAATGTGGGCAGCTACCACATGTATCCTTACTCTTTGTTTTTAGATGGTGGACCCTTCTTTTTCCTCAATTTGCTTAGTAAGTACTCTGTACTTATTTATTGCAGTGGTTTACAACTATATGTTAGGTAGATATACTGATATATGGATACCAGGAGTACTTTCTTTTCTCCTGGTTCAAACCTAGCACAAATTACAATCGTATAGATTAAACCAATGTCTTAGGTATTTTAGAGGTTGTGTTCCAACTTCCAAGTTCCTGTTCCCATTTCAAGTTATAAAATGTCTTGTATTTCGTGCTACGGTCGTCTACATAAATAAATCAATTTTGGACTCTTTTGCCCCTTGTTAAAGCTGAAAGATTTTGGAGTTAAAATTCTGATTTGGACAATGTAGCATGGAACAAAAACGTGGAAAACTTCTAAAGTACCCGGGAAGTTGGATTATTTTTAGGAAAATTTAACAACAATAAACCAACCTTTGCTCAGTTCTCCCAAAACGAACCAACCTTTAAATCTGCCCAAAATAAACACAAGTTTCCCAAAACGAACCAACCTTTAAATCTGCCCAAAATAAACACAAGTTTTGTATTTTTTCTCTCATACTAAACCCAATTGACTTATGACCTGAACAACCGGTCATTTTATTTATTTTCCTTTAATTTTTTTTTTAAATTAACAAAATAAATTATATTAAATAAAAAAAAAAAAAATCAAACCTCCCCCAACCCCTCCTCCCCCACCCAACTGCTCACTCCCTCCCCCTACCGGCAACCGGCTCTCAACAACCACCACCACTTCACTCGGCGGGTAGTTGTTTGTTTTAAATTTAAGAAAGGGAATCACTTCAACAACCACCACCCTTCAATCTACTTATCTACCCTTCACCCTACCACCACTACTTTTTCCACCGCCCTCTTCACCAACTACCATTGTCGCCCCTCCCAACCGACCGCCATTTTGCTACCACCGTCACTCCTCTCTCTCTCTTTCTCTTTTATTTTTGAGTAAGTGGTGTTAGATCTAGTTTTTGGTTGTTTTTGTGAGTAATTGTTGTTAGATCTAGTCTTGTTTGGGTGTTTGTGGGTTGTTTACGAGGGTGGTTAGAGGTCTTTATGGAGGTGGTTAAGATTTTTTTTGTTGGTTTTCGTGGTGGATGTGGTGGTTTTTGAGGGTGATGGATAGTATAAGGAGCGTGGGGGGTTATTTTTAAGGGGCGTTAAGTGGTGTCATGGAGGGTGGCGGAAAGGGAGGGGGTCGCCGGAGCCGGGGGAACGGGAAGGGTGGTTGGTGGTTGGTGGGGAGGGAGGGCTGACAATGGTGGGGAATGGAAGGGTGTTTTTTTTAAAAAAAAAAATTATCAGAATTTTTAAAAATATAGATAAATAATTTATTTAAATCATAGATTTTTTTTTTTAAAAATAAATTAACCAATGAGAACATGACACGTGGATTGCTACCTGGTATAATAGGTCAAGTTGCCTGCTTGGTTTAATATGAGAGAAAAATTAAAAACTTAGGTTTATTTTGGGCAGATTTAAAGGTTGGTTCGTTTTGGGAGAACGGGGCAAAAGTTGGTTCGTCGTTGTTAAAATTTCCTTATTTTTTATGATTGTTATCCGTGCTAGACTTCAGGCTTGAACAATGGAAGACTCCTACTTATATAAACAACTGCAAACCATATTAATAAACCCTCTGTATTTTATAACTTGCTCCATTTCTTCGGACAAGGAGTTTTGGATGAATAGTAGTAAATATTATTTTATGATTACAGTTGGGTTGGTTGAATAAAAAAAAATCTGAAAAAGCAGAAGTGAGTATAAGTGGGGAGGAAGAGAGAGAATATTAAAAATATTAAAAAATGATGAGGAGACCACTAGTAAGAAGGAAAATAGTAAAATATTGTTAAAAGTTATCAAAAAAGGAAATAGAGCAAGTAATAAAATACGACCGCAAAAGGAAAATGGAGCAAGTAATAAAATGCGGAGGGAGTTAATAAATTAAGGAAAATTTTCTAAAAAAAATTAAATAAAAGAAAAAAAAGCGCTATAGAAGTAGTTCTTAAAGTATACAAGAAAAAGAAGGGTCTACTTTCCAATAAATGAGAGGAAGGATATGTGGGGGTTGTTTCCGTTCAATTTAAATAATCAAATAATCGCAATAAATAATAAACATATTTTACTAAATGTAACACTATTAATGTTCTTCTACCGTAGGTTACCATCACCATCTGTCATTAACGAATACATATTCAAGATTTAACTTGAAATTGTAACAAAAAACAAAAACTATATTAAGTATCACTCTAATCCTTAAGAGAAAATCTCAAAGTCAAACCCATGATATGGATCGCCACCTTTGAGTATCCAATTCGTGAACCTCTGTGAACTGGTACGGAAAAGTACTGCAGGACAAATGACCTGGAGTGTGGCCACGTTCCACGTTCTGGGTATCCCTGTAATTGACTTTTCTCTTACTTGACGATCTATGAAGAGGAACCTTTTCATTTGAATTTGTGGGGTTGACGCATGATTCTGTATGCATTCTGCATCACCCCCTTCCCCCCTCCCCGCTATGGCGGCATACCCTAACGGTTGATGCCCTCTAGGCTGATATTTTTGGTGTGTGTAATACTTGGTTTTTTCGGATAGCACAGATTTATATAAACCCGCAATGTATAAACTTTCTTTTTTTCCCAATGTTCAAATTCTTAATTTACTATTCCAGACTGTACAAACATCTGTTGTAAAGAGCAATCTGAATCCAATTTGGAACGAGGAACTTATGCTTTCTGTACCTCAACGATACGGATCTGTAAAATTGGTAATTTTGCCCTTTCTTTTCTCATGATTCCATCAGGTGCTCTTATTAACTTTGCTATTTGTGCAATGTGCTTTCCCTGCTGGTTGCTTTCATCTATTTAGTGACACAATTGTGTGAGAAACTGGCTTTTCATATGGTTCTTGATGTTGGTAATAATTTTTTTTCAGAGAATTTGATTATTATGGATTTAATGTACTTCCTTCAATTTTGTATACACAGTAGTTTCCTGAAAAAAATTGAACTGAGCTAATTATTCTCAGGTTTAGAAGTGAGACCAACTGCACCTTATTAGCTTAAAATTCTTATTGGCCCTTATTTGATCTTATTATTCAAAATAAAATGAATAAAAGTTGTTGATAGCTTCATAGCTTAGCTTAAGTGTGTTTAGGGGTCAAAAAACTAAGTACGAGGTCATATTATAGAAATTTGAATTGGAATTAGTAGGGATAAGTTCCAATTTGAGATTTGGAACCGGTTAAACCGAATCATAGAATCTTGGAATCGAACTTGGAACTTCAGGCTACACGATTATATATATAATTGTTAAAATTTATGAGAAGGTTTATATAGCGAGGAGGATAAATGTTATATATTTTTAAGGAAATTTGTGGTAAACCACGTTAAAAAAAAAATAAAAAAAAACTTCAAAAACTCCATTTTTAAATTTTTGTTGTCGTTTGCCGCCACAAACAGAAAAAATGACACTACTGAATTGTTAGCAGTCAACGCTCATTTTCCGCAGGAGGTGGTGAATTACAACAAAAATTTTAATTGGGTGGTTTTTTACATGTTTTTTAAAAGGTGGATTTTCACAAAAACAAGGATTTTAAAGGTGGTTTTTGACAAAATTTCTTATTTGTAACTGTATGTGTAAATATTTTTTACTAAATATAATTTGATACTCTATCTAGTATCATTTTCCATGTTTCTAGAAAAATGAATGAATATTGAATTTGAACCTTTTATTTATTTATTTATTTTTTTTATTTGCACATGTAGTTAAAAAAATATGTAGTACAAAATATATGCACATAAAATTTTTCTCATTTGTACCTTTATATATGAAATTTTTTATAGGTTTAAGGTTTCAATAATGCTCTTTTTTAAACTGAACAAATACATTCAACAGCCTTTGTTTTTGGAATGCATGCATGAATATTTTTTGGGTAATAGAATATCCGATTGGTTCATAACTTTATTATAGAACAATTGGGTTTATTTTTGTTTTTGGAACCACCAATTTCAATTCTGGATACCTGAAATTTTTGCATGTGGATTTTAATTTATTTCTTTTCTCTTAGATAAACCAATTTTCCCCTGATCCTATTTGTTTTTCTTATTTGGAATTGGGAGTAAATTCAGAATAAGTGAATCTTAGTGAGAAATAAACGATTGAAACAATAAATATTCGAAATTTTACATTAAATAGTCTCACTTTTTAAAACAACAAAAAAGAAAAAAAAAAAAAAGGAAAAAAGGGGGACTATGTAATAAATGTGATTATTGGGAAGAAAAAAATGATGATAAATAATTGGAATCCATGCATAGGGAATTTCAATTAGTGGAAAATTGTTATAAAGTTGTACGGAAAATTGGAAAAAGTAAATTTTTTTGGCACATTAGCTTAATCAATAGATGAAAATTGATAGAAATATGTTGATCATATAGGGAAAGATTTCATTTGGAATGAATTTTTTAAACATTTAAATTGGGAAATACGATTTAAGATAGTATTAAGGATGCTATGTGATTTTTTCTTTTTTTTTCTGTTTTTTTTCAATATGATTAACTAAGCATTGATTATTCTAAAATTCTATTCCCTAATATATGAAAGGTATTTCGTGATAACATACAATGTTTTTGATACCATATGATAATTATATTACAGCTGACATGGCCTATGGTTGACTGATGGGTTAATAGCACATCAGTACCGCAACTGCCAAAGTGCCAAATATTGATTTATGTATCTGATGCATTCTTTGGTTGGTATTTTCGTTTCTGTTTTTCACTGCAGAAAGTGTTTGACCATGACACATTCTCAGCTGATGACATCATGGGTGAAGCCGAGATCGATATCCAGCCATTGATAACCTCGGCGATGGCTTATGGAGACCCAGGAATGTTCGGTAATATGCAGATTGGGAAATGGTTGAAATCACATGATAATGCCCTTGTAGAAGACAGCATTATAAACATTGATGATGGTAAAGTTAAACAGGAGATGCAATTGAAGCTCCAGAACGTTGAATCTGGAGAGCTAGAATTAGAAGTGGAGTGGATGCCTCTTGAGCAATAATCAGTTAATATTAAACCCCAGAATGTAAATGATTGGGGAAAAGAAAAAAAAAAAAAATGAACTTCACAATATAAGATGAAATAACCGCCATTGTAAAATTCAGTTTTCTGTCCTCTGTCCTTTGTGTTTAATTTGTTAGTGATCTGTTTCATGATCGCTGAAAGTTCTTAGTGGGTACTATTGGTTTAAAAACTACAGCTTTTCATTGAGAGAGTTTTACGTTAAATTATTGTATTGCTGATTTTTTCTAAGATATTGCTAGTTAATCATGAAATCGGCTGACGTGTTATTAAATAGGCCAACATCAGTTCATATCACAATATGTAAACTAGGTTATACTTCCAAATAGCAATTGACTGGGTTCAAACACGTACGATGCACAAATCGTTATAAATAATTAAATTTAACATTACCTTCCCAGTTCTAATCATTCTCATCTCATGGATCGTTGAATGTGTTGGTCGTTTTGTTGCATATGTTAACTTGTTCTCTTGCAAAATGAACATTTTCCAATGCAGGATTATAACACAGTATTCTTATAAAATTGGTTGACTGATTCCTTAAATATGATCATTGTTCATCATTTTTTTTGCTCGTAAAAGTTATTGGCACTTGGGATGATAATACTCATAAATTTGTACATTTATATGCGTGGGATTGATGTTATATTAGTTTATATAGGATTAAAATTAGGTGAGGCTTACTCAATGATTCGTGCAGCATGTCAATTGTGTGGTCCGGCCCACTTATTCATTATGTAATTGTCAATTGTAGCCCGTTCCCCTTCACTCCTTCCACTGATTCCGCCATTTTCACTTTATTTTCTCTTCTTAATCGCCATTTTCACTTTCTCGTACTTTATCATATTTTATCGATATCTTGGTTTTGCTCATGTTCTCTACATTTCCGACTACATTTCGCCATTTTATGAAAGATTTTTCAGTTCAATATCATCTTAAACTCAAAAACAATGAGGTCGAATAATGCTGATAGGTCGCTGGCTAAGAAGCTGAAAATTACAGTGATCAACTAGGAACATCAACATCTAAATATAATTTTACATCTACTCATTTCTTATGTTTTTCGATTTAGGTTTATTTAATATGTTTAAAGTCGCTATCATGGTTGGAGCATAGACAACAAAGGTATGCGTAGAGGTCAAATGCACACCGCTGAACCGGAGTGAAATTAAATACGTGGCTGTAGATATTGTGTTATTTCTGCTTATGTTTAACAAATTTTGAATTTTCATTATCTGACCTAGGGTTTAAATATATTGTAATCGTAATAGATGATATGTTTTATGTATTTGATCAAATGACTTTTCGATTTATGGATTTAAAATTTTGAGTGTCAATTATTTTATATTTTGAGATTTCATTTTCTTAATTTGGGTTTGAAGATATCATTATTAATAGAGGATATAGTCTAGGTGTTTGTTGAAATCATTTGTCTACTCATGGTTTTAAAATTCTTTTTGAATATATCTTCTTATAAGATATATTTTAGCATTTCGATCACTTGATGTTGTTTATTTTTTACTTTTTTATTATGATTAATAGTAAATCTCAGTTATCTGCAGCTTTTACAGCCGGAAAAATTACTACAAAACAAAAATTAGATTGAATCTAGGTATTTTTAAAGTTTTTGACTAAACTTATTGTTTCAAATGTTTATTATTCAACTAGTTGTTCTATCGCGTGCAACAACGTTTTTTTTTGTTTGCCTTAATTATAAGCTTAAATAGATATAATTAATTGTAACTTATTTTTGTTGTTGATTTGATATAAACTATATAGCTAAGTACATTTATCATTTTTATTATGATTCGTTGAGGGTAGACAAATAAATAGTTTGTATTGTTATGTTTATTTTTTTTGGTGTGTAGAGAGCCACAAGGACGGATGATGAGAATCGATCTCAGGATCTCTAGAAATCAGGAGAGAAGCTCTAACCACTAGAGCTACCCCTCACTCTGTATTGTTATATAGTTCAATGGATGACTATTTAAGCTTAATCAATAATAGTTTTGATCTATTGCATTCTTTACTCTACAATAGAAAGCTTGTGTGAGATACTGTAATTTTGTATGTTTAATTTATGGATAACATGACATGTTTTTATTTGCGCTTAATTGATTATTGTATTGTATTGTATTGTATTGTATTGATATAACATGATGTAGGAATTAAATATGGCATAATTGATGATTAGTTCTATTAATTGATTATTGTATTGGTCCCTCAATATGGACGCTAAATTCCTGTGCTTGTATAATGTGTACGATTTGTAGTGCATTTTAGGATTTTTTTGGTTTGTTTCGTGCATAATTAGTGTTTTGTTTTGTAAAAGTGATATATTCGGTTGTTAGTTTTTGTTGTTGTTAGATGATCATAATGTACCAAGTTAGTAAGTTGAAACCAAGAGTAAGAAGAAATAAGGGAGGAAGATGATGGAAAAGAAGAGGAAATAGGAAGTAGAGATGAAGATCAACTGTTTATAGTGTATAAGAATGTCAATATACTTCACTATGGTGTATCAATTGTCTATCAACATGGCATTTGAAGTGTGCTGATAATAGGAAATAAAGATAAGAAGTGCTTCTTAAGATTTTCAGCGATGATGATCTAAGCCCTAATAACATAGGGATGAAAGATTTTGAATTTTTTTTTGAATGTTTAGTAACTCAAATTTTCGAAAAATGAAAATCAAATTAACTGCAAAGAGTAAAAAAAAGTTATTAGCATCTTAGGAGTTTTGTTAAAGAACAATGATGTAACAACATCACCGATTTGTGATGCTTCAATATGCCTATTGAAGTCTATCTTAAATACTTCCATTATTGTTTTTTAACGATCTAACTTAGCATTCAATGCTTCATTATTTGTATCAACAATATATCTCCATGACATTCAAAGTGAGTTGGTAGGAAAAACTTAACATACGTATCCCTTTGAATTTTAAATTTGTAGGTTTTTTTTTTTTTTTTTTTTTTTTTTTTTTTTTTTTTTTTTATATATATATATATATATATATATAAATAATTTCAAAGTTAAATGTTTACTATAAGTATATGTTAGTTGTTGAATTATACACAGAAACCCTTGCTCATGTTTGACCTAGTTTTTTTCCCATAGGTGGGAATTTTGTATGGAATTCTATATGGATTCCAAGTATATTGCTTACATTTTGCATATGAAAAAAAATTTGATCGTAAATGTTTATGTTATGAGTTTGAGATAATCTATTATTTGTGTTTTACTAAGTAAATGCCTACCAATAGGGTTTTTATTTTTATTTATTTTTTATTTATTTTTTTTATTTTTATCCACTAGGTTTATAGGTACTCCTAACTCTTCAATAAGTCTTTTATAAGGCAGACATACGTTAATTTTATTGTAAGACGATCAATTTAAAGCTAACTTTAACAATTTTTATGGTAACTTTAATCCTATTAAAAAGTAACTTGTATTTGTAATGAGTTTGATTGTATTATAATATGTAATTTCTAATTGATACATACTATAAAGGGTGATGTGAATAATTTAATATATTAAGTATTTTTAGGTTAAATTTATGTTAGGAATATAGAAACTTTTGTACATAGTATATAAAGGTAACTTAAAATACTTTTAGGGTAACTTTAACCCGTCTTACAATAAGTTAATGAAAGTCCGTCTTAATCAAGAATTTTTAAGTCTATTAATTTTAATCTAAATAATGTCCCTAAATGCCCCATGTTAGAGGAAAAGTGCTTTAGTATTGATGTGGTTGATGTAAATAATTTTTCTAATAAGCCCCAAACTCTCGTTAGAGATTCCTTGGAAGCGGTATTTTGTGTTATATCTTCCACAGGAAAAGCTACTACATGGAAAGATAAAGTGGATGCTACAGAAAGAGCTCTAAATTTGATAGGGCTTGGGTTTGAAGATGAACAAGTGGAGAAAAATGAGAAAATTGAAAAAAATCGGACTCATAGTGCTGTAGTGCGCCCGACCGGGCGAGATGGCGCCTGACCGGGCGCGAGAGGAAGTCCGTATGCGACCACAAATCGCCCTACTGGGCGACACCCGCCGATCGGGCGCAGAAGAAAAGCGGATTTTGGCCTACATATTGCCCTACCGGGAGAACATCCGCCTGACCGAGCGCGAGAATAACGATCGAAAAAAGAGTTTATTTCGCCCGCCTGGGGGCGCGAGAGCGGGAAGCAAAACTGGCCAACTTCAAGACACCATATCTTTTGCGTTTCTTAACGAAATTTTGCGTGTGACATATCGTTGTAAAGCTCTTCAAGTCTAATTTCCAATGCAATCAGAATCACTGCATTATCATTTGTATTAAAAATTATATGAGCGAAATAGTAAACCTGACTCGTTTTTGCCTCTTTTCCTACTAACACTTTGTTTCCTTTTTGTCTAGAATTGTACCAAAGTGATGAATTGTGATGCTTGGGATGGTGGTGGCTACGAGTTTGATGACGAGGGGTAGTCACTTGGGTTATTAACTTCTCTTTAAGCCAATGAGGACATTGTCTGATTTAGTTTGGGGGGAATTTCTTGTATATACATGTACTCTTTCTTTTCCTTTTCTTTTTATTTTCTTTGGTGTGCTTGGTTTAGTTTTCTTTACTTTCATAGTATATATTTTATTGCTTTCTAGGGTAGATTTTTATTGCTTTAAAAAATATAAAAAAAAGTACGAAAATACGATCCAATGAATGATAAATCATGCTTCCCTGTGCCCCATACATGAAAATGGTTATGGTTCTTGGTATATGATGATGAGTATTGTGGATAGGTTAGCCATGATTTGATGTTTGATTGCTTGGATGCCCTAACATGAGTCAATTTTGTCCAACTATTTGTGGATTTGGTGCTTAGCTAGTTGATTTGGTTAGGAATTGTGTGTTAGTTCCTGGTATGTCAATGAAGTTGAGTATTGGTTTTCAACTTTGAGTAATGTTTGTATGGCTCATTATTATGCACATTGAGGAGGACGAAGGCATTTGTTCTTTTAGGTGGCCTTCAGATGATTTTAGGTGGCAATTGTTGAGAGATACATTTGTTCCCTTCTTGCTACCCACGTTGTTACCTTGACTTTTTATTGTTTATTAGCCACATTACAAGCCGATTTTGCTCTATTGGTTACTAGTCCCAAGCTTGGCTTGGGGGAGCTATTAGTGAGTGAGGTGAGGGAGTTTGTAGTGTGCTTATTATTTGCACAATTTGGGTGGTGTTGAGAAATTGTTTGTTCTTGGTTGTGGTTTATTTTGAT